CATCTGGGCGCGCGGCGGGGTCCCCAGAGCAACACAGTGCGGAAGCATTAGCGTGTATTTGTGTCCTGGGGCCGAGAACGCATTTTGCGCAAAGCATGCTGGGTAGCAGAGTGAACTGTCCTGGGGACGAGAGTTTGTGGCGCGGGCGGAGAATGCCAAAACTCCCTCCGTGGCTAAGTTCCTTCCGCGACTAACTCCCTTCTGGGCAAATGTAGAGGGATAACGGTACACCCTCATAGCGTCACCAAATGAGGTACTTTGTAAAGGTCCGTTTCATTTGGTATATATTACCATTGTGACAGCATTTTATACCCCAAAATAGGAATCTTGCGTCTTGTTTTAGCCTTTTAGGTCCCGATAGTAGAAAGAATGCAGTGTACATGTATTCAGATGGCCGCCGTGTAACGTTACGTACTAGCGAGCGCGCACGACAATACCGCCAGAGTAGAGTAGGTTATCCTAACCCTTTAGATAGCGCAAAGAAAACAAAAACGACAGATTTGCATTAAAGAAAGTTTATTTTCCATAGCCTGGGCTAAGCCACGATCTATAACCTATGGCTTCTCCACGGGCGCTGGGGACGAGCGTGGTATTAACCGTTGCCTAATTATAATGTCTGCACAGTAGGTCTGGCGTTGACGCTTGGGATTTTGTTGAAATATATAAAACTTCACGGAGAATTGTCGCCTATGGCTTCTTGTTGCGTCTTTGGTCTCCTTCACAGAGTAAAAATGCAAATATTTCACGGACATGCCACTGCTCTCCAGTCATTGGTGGAGGTGCAAATTTCCTTGCTATCATTGGTCAAACTGATAATTGCCATGCCATCATTGGTTGAACTGCTAATTGTATTGGGCAGTCAGTATCTGTCTATTGTCAAGCCAAGCTGTGTATCCATTGGCAAAGAAGAAGACAGGTATATGTGATAATATTCTTTAACCTGTATCACCTTCAGGTGTGGAGCCTTACCTTGTCTTCAGCAACAGATATTACATCAGAAACCTGACTGTCGACGGAAGCAGCTACAACCTCGTCAAGCAAGGTCAGAGCATAACAAACCTTCATGTACAAAAAGCCACAGTTTCTTTCTACATGTAGTTACATGGCCTAGAAGGTTGGTAATTGTTTTTAATGTCTTTCTTGTTGGTTGGGACAATCCAGAGTGAAGTTTTACATTGTTATGTTGCAGGACTGACCAATGCTATCGCTATGGACTACGACCTTCAGGAACAGCGGTACTACTATTCCGACCTTGGCACAAACCTGATCAAACGCATGTTCATGAACGGTACGGGAGAGGAAACAGTCATCGACCAGAACATTCCACTGGTGGAAGGCATGGCTGTAGACTGGGTTGGCAGGTACAGTAGCCGAGTTGGTTTTTGTACGATAAGTTTCAGATGCAATACGAGGGTCAGCAAGTAGTAGGCAAAAGTGGGTGACGATTGGTTAATTTTCCTACCAATAATTTGCATACAAGTTCAAAGAATTTGCATTTATATTATGTAAACAAGTTGGTTTACATTTATTTTTGCTTATTTTAGCATAAAATCTAACTGTTGAATTGGGATCTCTACATAATTTGGTAAAATCACAGATTCCACCAGCTTGGAGTCTCTACCCTGACATACATGTATATATGAAATTTCTTGTTTGTTTGTTTGTTGATTAATTTTGTTGTTTGTGTTGTGTTGATGACCAGGAAGCTGTACTGGAATGACAGGAGGATGAAGAAGATGTTTGTGTCAGAGCTGAACGGGAGGTCCCGCAGGACGCACCACCAGGGCTGCATCAGCAAGAATAACACTGACTACTGCATGCAGGAGCCAAGGGCGCTGGCTGTGGATCCAAAAGAAGCGTAAGAAGCAGTTCACCTCAGTTATAATTAATGGAATTAACTTGTCATACAATCATAACAATGTCAAAGCTATTCCAACACAAAGAGTACACCTTTGTCAGGATAGTTAATGACCAGTCACTTCTGAACATAAACTCATGACAGTTACAAATGTATGGTTACACACACGTTACTTTATTCACAAGACTTTACGGATACGTGATGTCAATAATTGATAAAATCTTATATTGTCTACCGTCTCACATATCCATCAATATTACAACATATCTCTTCTCCATTAGGAAGAGCTCATGATACATGTACCTAAGTCATCTTATTAGCGTTAGTCCAATTTAAGTCACCAAGGTGACCAATTACATTGTATTTGAGTCCCACATTGTCATCACACTCAGGCCATCCAACCAGCTATTCCCATCTTGGCTCCCGGCTGATGTTTTTAACAGGTTATAACTCAGGGTGTGGTGTATATGTATCCTTTTGATATTTGGTAGGTAGGTTGGGGTTAGGACAATGATGGTCAATTTTTAAAGCATTTCTTGTTTGTCTTCCAGGTACATCTACTTCACAGACTGGGGTTACCGTGCGTACATCGGCCGGATCTCGGCAGACGGGACGCAGAAGGAGGTCCTGATCACGGAGAAGGTCAGCTGGCCGAACGCCCTGACCATGGAGTACGCCACGGGCAGGCTGTTCTGGGCAGACGCTCATCTGGACTTCATCGAGTCAGTAACTGTTTCTCAAGGTTTTCATGATGCAAATAAAGTACAGGGTATTGAAATTTTGGACTGTCATGTGCATACTGCCTTGTTCTTTGGTAAGTTACATGTAGGTATGAAGCAGTAATGCCTTAATGCCAATATCGACAAATAGCATGTACGAGACTAACAAGATAATGGCAACAACAATTACAATGTACAAGATTTACAATACAGTGTCAACAACAATTTTTTAAAACAACACAATATTACACTATACCTGTACTTCTGATAGAGTATGTAATACTTCCCTCTGTATGCCATATCATCATTGGCAGTAGCTGGTGGCCAAGCATTGGTGCTCGCATCAGAGTACACCATATATAAAATTATTAATAAATTTTTGTATGCTTCCCTCAAGATTCTGTAACAAAGATGGCAGTAACCGTCACACGATCATCGGCCCCGCGGCTGATGGCACCGCGCCACACCCCTTCGCCATGACGCTGTTCGAAGACTGGATCTACTGGACAGACTGGAACACCAAGACCGTGGAGAAGGCTCGCAAACTGAACGGCACCGAGAGAACCACCATGGTCAACACTGTCCACCGGCCTATGGACATCCACATTGTCCATCCACAGAGGCAGATGCCATGTACGTTTGGGAAGGGGGAGGGGGGCAGACTTTTTTGGGATGTAGCATTGAATATGGTATTCTAGACTCCCTGTCCTTGGTGCTGAACCCAACCAAAATTTCACACAAACTACGTAATCTTACAGTAACTGTATAGAGCATACATGTATGTCATCCCTATCCTTAGTACTGAATATGTTGTTCTAGTCAGACTGTCCTTGGTACTGAAACTTCACAGAAAGTTATCTTAAAGTAACTGTATAGAAGATATGTCATTCCTATTCATGGTACTACATATGCTAGTCAACAAATGTAGTCTGCCTGTCCCTGTCCTTGGTGCTGAACACAAATGAATCTTCACACAAAGTGGGAGTAAGTCTGAAGGAAAATTCATGGTAAATTCCTGGATATTTGAAGTACATTCCACAATAAGTTTCACAATATAGTAAAATAAATGCATTCTTACTTATAATGCATACCTACTTCCTGATAGTTTGAAATGTCTGATTTCTTGTTCCATGATGTCCAGTTGTGAACCCGTGTGGAGACAACAATGGCGGGTGTTCCCACCTGTGCCTGATGGCTCCGGAGAGGAGAGGCTACACATGTGCCTGTCCTGACAACTTCAACCTGGGCTTTGACAGGTCAGGCAGTTTGGGACAGTGTTCTAGCCAGCGTCTGTCTTTCCTTCGTTCTACAGAATTTTGTTGCTCATGACAGATAAAAATTGTGCCCAATCTGTCATCTTTGACGGACAAAAATCTGCATGTAAAGATATGGAGAGAGGTGTTATTAAACTAAGCTTAGACTACCAGCAAAATTTGCCCCTCAAAATGCAGGAAATAGCAATTCAAAGGGTCAAGCTGTCAACATTTTTTGGGGGAGCCAGATGCCCCCCACCCTCCTAAGATTGGTGCGACGATGATGCAAAACTGAGATGCCCCCGATAATTTCGAGCTGGCTAGAACACTGGTTTGGATCCTACTCAACCGTAGTTGCATCAAATAGCTGAGTGGTAAGGCTAGCAGACATGAGATCTAGAGGTAATGGGTTTGATCCCTGGCATTTCTGACTAGATGTTGTGTCCTCAAGATAAGCACCTGAATTCAGCTGGGGAAGTAAATAGGGGTGGAAGGAAAGGGGTGGGCACCATGCTTCTATGAACTCAGCATTGAAAACAACAACCCTGTGCTGACTTGCAGGAGAACGTGCATCGCCAACTGTGCAGCTAACCAGTACCGCTGTGCTGACAATGATCGCTGTATCCCTGACCTGTGGAAGTGTGACGGGGAGGAGGACTGTAGAGACGGGTCGGATGAACCAGACAGCTGTCGTACGTACTGTTGACAAAATTGCTATGCTCCGAATTGCTCTTAAACACATGTACTTGTCCTTGTAAACAAAACATGGTGACCATCAGCATTCATTCAGTTACATGGACCTTGGTAATATTTGTTGTCTTTTTTCATTTGTGCAGCACCGCGCCATTGCCCAGCGGGTACTTTCCAGTGTACTAACCTGAACTGTACCTATGCCTACTACCTCTGTGATGGGGATGATGATTGTGGGATGGCTCGGATGAAGATCTCAACTGTGGTATGTGTTAACATTTTATTAGAATCAGCACAAAGAATGATTGTAAAATAATGTTGAAAATCTTTATGTATACCTTCTGGGCAACTGGGCAATTTTAGTGTTACATGTATACGTATTTGAAATGACAGTCTTCAACTTGTCTGTATTTGTAATAGCGTGTGTAGTACAGTGGTTAGTAACCCTGCCACTGGACTGAGAGGTTGTGAGTTTGAATCCCGGCTGTGTAGCTTACCCAATATGGATGCTGATAAAAACCACAATCTACTGCTCATTGTACAAAATGTACTTGTTGAAAAGAGCTATGGGAATGGTACAATAAACCTGTATAT